TTAAGTAATGCATGTTAGTTGGCGCACTCTTGGAAAGTCAGCAATGGATTCAGAAAGACTGATTAGGTAATAATTAGAACAAAATAAAACAAGTTAACGAATAGTATTATTTATTATTAAGCGTGTGCTTATATAAAAAACTTATGATAAATTGTAGTTTATTTTGTAACTTTATATTAATTATTCTAAAACATCGTGGTTACATAGCTTTATAATTAATAAAATTATTTTTAAATACAAAAGTAAATAAGTCAATAAGTTCTAATCGACATCAACGCGCATTTCGTGAGCGTCACTACTACCAGAATTATAAAGAAAAGAAATAAATGATTATGCGTATTCTATAAAACGTTAATGAACGAAGTGTTGTTGTGTGTATGTGCGTGTGTGAAAAAGAGGGGGCAATAAATCCGCGGTCAGCAGTTATCCCCCTTAAGAATTGTGACTTATTAAGAAATCACATTATTTTTTACTGATTGATTATCACCTTTATACAATAGGTACAGCTTTATTTCTTAATAAAGAATTGTCATTTATCAATTTTATAAGGTCTTATCTTCTATCTATATTTTAATATCACATACATGCACAGACTAAAATAGAACAGTAAACATAAAAAATAAAATTATAAAAAAACGAAAGGTTAATAGGGACGAAAAAAATAACGAATAACCTCAAACAATACAGCCGTAGCGGTTATAAGGATGAACGCTTGCCTTAAATTCCAACCAAGATTTATCTCCGGTGTTAGTACTGATATTATATTTATTGATATTTTGAATTTTTGGGAAATATTTCATGGGAATGTTAAGTACGCTAGTCTACTACGCTATTTTCATCAAAGCTATTCTTCGCTTTTTCATTCGATATCGTGTACACCAGAGGGGCTGTTTGCAAAATTGTAGTCTATTTTTATTATTCTCGCATCTTTTGCCTGATAAATGAAAGTTCTAAGATAGTGATACAGATTTGTCAAGCTGCAATGAAGGGTATAGACCAAACGAACGAAAGTGAGCAAAGGCAAGACAGAGGTATTCGTGGATGATGGGCCGTAATCATCGGTGAGCTCGCCCGCCTTTGTTATGTTTACATTTTTTAAAGGATTTTAAACCATTAATTTCCAACAAATATATTAATCACCAAGTGACTATACCAGCATGAGAGAACTGTATTACATCTAGAATTTGTCGATTTACGTACCAACATTATTTTTTGTAGTATTTCTTTTTTTTTTATGAATACTCCTATCATGAAGGCGCTTTATATACATAAATTGCACGGGAACATGTTTCAAGTCTTGGAAAAATTATTAATTGATCTTATAAATAGTTCTTACGTCTCGAAACCACGTCGTACAGCGCCGCAACCGGCCGCTTATTCACTGTGATCGAGCCGTCGTTTTAGTTTCTACAAATACAAATGGCGTTTAATTTTTTACAGATCAATAAATAATACTAAGCAATTGTGTGCTTTGTGATCACACGTCCGTTCTTTTCGTCGTTCCTACTCTCCCTACTGAATGCTTCACCCGCTCCATACCACGTATTCTCATTCGCGCTATTTTGTTTTGTTATACTAACACGCGGCAGTGTACAGGCAAAAACGAGAAAGATCATTCGCTCGCTTTTGGTAAATGATCCACAACCACACGTTAGCGTGTGTTTGTTAATCTTGTTCTGTTGGTGTTACCCCGGTAATACGTACACTATAAAAAATAAGGGTCAATTCTTAAGGCGCGCTGACATCGTACAAGTTTCTTGCCTGTTCCGTAAATAAAGTTAAATCAATAATCAACACACACTGTTTATACAATGTGTAGGCAATATTGCTCTGGAGAGAAAAAGATCATAACAAAATCTACTATTGGGAACAATGATCAATACCGAATTAAAATTTACGTCCGGAAATACATGCAATACTTGAAGCAACTCTTAAAAAATTCCACAAGAAACTTTCACAGTGTAAGTAGTACATTAAGGTGATAATTCATTGTATTTATCTAAAGTAATCATAAAAATTAAATATAGTGAAATTTGTCATCAAATGCATTGAGTTATATGTACTACGTACTAGAGAAGCCATTCCAAACAAAAATTGTTATATACGCGGAAGTAGTAGTCGCGCATGTGAGAAAACTTTAATTTGATATAAAATAAGATATTAATATAAAATAAATATAAGAATTTAATATAAAATATCTTAATTTAATCTAAACAAACATATTTCTAAATAAAATGTAATAATTATTATTTTATGGAATTCACAAATCTTCAATTTACGCAATATTTAGTTTGTACGGATTGCAGCACAGTTCAGTTGAACATAGTCAATGTTCGGAATGGCTTCTCTAGTACGTAGTACATGTAACTCAATGCATCAAATGAGATAAATTGATGAATTTTAATCTTTTTACGCGTTTACATATAAATGCAGAATTAATCTTTGATTTGCATAGAGTAAAATACACTTATAATAACATTCAGAGTGATGCTAAGTATTTTGGAAACTAGATTAACGTTATTTAATATTTCTGCTTTATGATGATCCCGAATGTGATTTATATTGAAAATGAGGCTGAGGACCGCGGCAACCACGGCTGATAGCGCCTAAGAAAAAAAATCATGAAATTAAAAAAAAATTAGAGAAAATAATTACATAAAAAAGTAAATCAAATAAAGTAAATAAAAATTATAGCAAAATACCACATTTACATTCGATATGTAATATACTGTAAAATACAATAAATAAAAAAACATCCTGTCCGATCTATCTAAAATCAAATCACAAAGGCAATGTCACATAAAATAAACATCATATTTTTTTCTATTATTTTTTTTAAACAATATTTTTAAAATAAAGTTTTTTCTATAATTTATTTGAAATTTAGTTTTTTTTAAATCTGTTTACATCGTAGTCGCGGTCGGTATCTTTGAACGTGTGAGCCGCTCCAAAGAGTTTCAGTAAGGGCCGCCACACTTTATTAAATCCTATTTTAGTTTTTGAGTAATTTTCTTATTTATTTTTATAAATTTTCTTATAAATACATAGTTCTTAAAAAAAGATAGAAATTACCATCCCAGACTGTAAAACCTTAATATAAATAAAGTTATAATATCGTTTTCTAAATTATGTTTTAAAATTGGTTTAAAGAAAATCCTAAGCGCACGGAACCCAAGTCACTGACCTACTATAATATTAAGTATAATTATAATAATATGCAAATTCTAAGTCCCATTCCCATAGTAATCTTGCTCGGAAAGAGCTGGATCAAATCCGAACGTCATTTTGATGACGTCACAAAAAACGACGCCAGTCATTAGGCCAATCGACAAGTGGTAGAGACCATCGGCTATCTTCTTTTGGTTTTGGCTATGTTCGCTATCCAGTGATGAAATTATCAAAGCCAGCACTCCTGCGACTGCCTGTGTCAGAAAAATATTTAAACATGGGAATAGAACTTATTACAAGTATATAAGTATATATTGTTATAAGTAAGGTACCTTACATTATGTACCTCGTAATGTGTATTTATAGTATAAAATATTTGTTATCTTTTATAATATACCTTTGTAAGCTCTTACCATACTAAATCCAATATATTATATTTATGTTCTTGTTAATTATGTTCCCAAATGCCAATGAACAAAATGACAAATGATAACTTGGTTTAAAATGTATCGCAAAATTTTCACTTATTATAATTTATTTGAAACCATTGGCGTTGGAACTATGTACAAACTTATAAAAAAATAAGAATAGACACATATTTTTGTTAAACAGAAGACAATCAAATATTATTTTTACAATACATGGGCTACACTGAAAGTTCTGCGCTCTTGGCCGCTCATAAATGTTTGAAACTCGATTTTATACTTCTTAAAACATAACAAACTAATTTTAAATTGATTAGAATAATTTTTGGCGGGAAGTCGCGTGTCAATTGTTTTTATCAGAAGTAGTAGTCGTCATCCGTAGCAAAAATGGAATTACCGCGAAAATATTTTAGGTCGATGATTCGTTTATGATATTAAAAGTTCAATCTCTCCGTAAGATTGCACTGCCCTTCTTTAAAAATGCTTTTTTCAGGAAAGCACCTCATTTGAACACCGTAAGGTGTTGGAAGCAGAATTCGATAGTGGCCAAGTTTTCTCTCCATTATGAAATTCGTGAATGTCGCCCATCAACTGCGATCTCTGAGGATGTGGCTATTGTTAGGCGACTAATTGAAGAAAACCGGCGCATCACCTATGAGGAGATTCAAGGACACTTGTGTATATGTTTGAACCAAATTCAAAAAAATTGCAAAAACATTTAAAAGTTAGATAACATTGTAGCAGCTGGATTCCTTATTGGAACTCACCACAGAACAAAAACGAGCTTGAATCGATTGCTGTAAAAAATATTATTAAACTATGAGCACAGACGTTCAAATGATGTGTATGCCATAGTGACAGGATATGAAACATGGATATAGTATTACATTCCGAAAATAAAGCCGCAGTTCTATATATGAATGTTCAAAGGCCACAAAATTCAAGCAGGCAAGAAGGGTGGACAAAAACATAATTGCATTTTTTTCCTCCCAGACTGGTCTTGTCTGCACGATCCCACGTGATGTGCAAAAGACAGTTATTGCTGACTGGTACACCATCAATTGTAGGGAAGTGTGTTTGAAAATGTTAGGTAAAAACGACTAAGAAATCGCATTCTATTGAACAATGACCGATGCTTCGGTGCATGCCGCGAACAAGTCAGACACTTTTCGGTTTTAATTTTGGCTTTCTTCCAGATCTCACTCTATGCGATTTTTTATTTTCCCAAAAATAAAAAATTGGAGCCAGAAGCGGCCGTGCTAGAGCTTTCAACCAGAATATGAAAAACATGCCCTCAGAGCAATGGTCCTTTTGTTTTCAAATGGTTTGAACGAATGAAACAGTGTTTTAAAATGTAAGATGCAAAACTTTCAGTGTACTCCACGATTACCTAGTATATAATAATATTTAAAATGTCGTCGTATTAAGTTTTCGCAAATATTCAGTGTTAATAAATTTCAAGCGCTCCAAAATAAGAGGACTATTTGAGTACTCAATTCCAAAAGCGGAAATAACAATATTAAGAACGGAAATTACAAATATAAAAATTACTATGATGTCATTGAGAATAAGAGCAGAAGGCTGATCTTCTTGGTCGTTAAGGTCAAGGCCACCGATCACTACGAATAAAAGCCCGACGATAAGCTAAAAAGTAATGAAATCTATAGAATAATATTTTTCTAAACCTTCACATTCTATCACGCTTATGGTTATGAATGTCAATCATCACATTCTAAAAGAACGGCAGCGCACCTGCAATTTCTCTAGTGTTGCAGATGTTCATGGGTAGATGGTGATCATTTACCAAAGGTGAGCAGTAAGCTCGCTTGCATTTCTACTAAAAGAAATGGATACTGTAAATAGGGTAAAATAAATATAAGTAGGTAAGTACTTAAAATTATTGACGCTATTTGCAAAAAAATATCAATTTTTGATAAATCTACCTAAATATATATCGTTCGTATCTTACATGTACAAATACAACTACGATACAGGTCAAATTATTTATTTTCAATTAAATAACGACTGAAAACTGAAAAGGTGTATAAAAGTTCATGCACACACGTTCAATTCACAGTCAAGTCGCCGAACAGTCGCGTCAACGTTGTGGTTATATTATAATCTACTCTGTGGTTAGGGTTGTAATGTAGTTGTAGTTTTTGTACTATTATTTATTCTGTGGTTGTAATGTATTATATGAATAAATTGTAATCAATAATCACGTAACGTCAAACGCGCTGGATGGGTCTGACGTGTAGGGCCAATTAAAGAATCGTGTCGTGGCCTATTTCCTAACTCTTCTACTAATTTTTAACGGGACGATGACGTGACTAAATCATAAAAACTGTATGTGCATGAACCTTAAAAAGGATAAAAACGAGCGAAATACAAAAAGAATATAGGTAATTGGCGATTAAAATTTGTCATAAAATTGTCAGACACGATAACGGCGGCATAGTATAATATATTTTCACAATATACGAATGGCATAGTAGGTACTATAAATAAAATAAATAATAACAATATTTCATTTAAAAAAATATCACAGAATATTATAATTATTTTTTAAACATTATTATCCTTCTGTCATTGCAGCAATCAAAAATGCAATGAGCGGGCAACACTGTTAGTGACTTCCCTCAAAAACTGGCATAGCATTGCAAGCTATGAAATTCGCCGACTATTACCTATATAGTTATCAGTGTATGAATATGAAACTACGGAACTGCACACCAAAACCGTTGTTTTGCTTATGTTTTTATGCTATTAAAAGGAGTCGAATTCCAAATATCTAGCCAACGAAGAGTCGAAGGTTGAGACAAGCACGTTCAGTACGGTAACTATGAACGCAACTGATGTGGTCGCGTAATTGATGTTCAGAGCTGAGGTGCGATGACGAGGCTCGTGGTAACGGCAGTCACGGAGAAGGTTCAACGACAATAATACGAATCCCATCGCCACCTAAAGATATCTCTCTAGAGCTGCATTACAGGAATATTCTCGTAAGAGAGAGATTATACAGGGTTATTTTTCAAAGAGTAGCCAAATTTTAAATTTAATTTAAAATGCATAAATAATGATAAATATATGTTATTGTAGTTTTTCAAAATACGAGTAAATAAGGGTTTTCTACGTTTAGTTGACATTATCCCAAATTGAATGTGATTTATGGGCAACAACGATTTTGTCTACTGATCGACCCTTACGAATGTGCGCGGGTGCAGTAAAATCTGCTAAATTAATGCATTACCACGCCTTTAGAATTTAAAAGATAAAAAGGACAGAATATTTGAGATTTTTTTAAATTAATATTTTGTTCACCATTTGCCTGTATTACTTATTCTGAACCTTCTTTGTAAATTTGGCTGGTATTTCAAAATAATCCCGTATAGATTATATGATAACAAGACAGAATTTTGACAATTTTTTCCATTTTTGTGGGTCCTATATATTTTGCTGTAAAACTTCAGTTAAAATTGATCGCATACGGATACACGAATGAAAAAATAGAAATAAACATTATTATAATATTTATTTTATAAAAGCGTTGTTACTTGGTCGTGCTCACGCCTTTTTATAAATTTTAATCAATATGAATATATTCTTTACGGTACACCAATACGTATTAGAACGAGACAAAAGATAATAATTTTAATCCATTACTTGACTACGATCCCATCTGATGGTCTGATTGACCGAATCAGTCCTGGACGGGAATTTGCACTGGCTCGGAAAAGGCTTAGTCAATCCTAAACCAATAGTTATAAAATAAATATTATTATAATATTATAAATAATACCGGTACTACATAACTGTCAGACCATCCAACTTCAAGCATTCACCAGAAACTGAGCGAACCCCCCGAAAAATAAAAAAAATGCGTGCGTGTCGTGGAACATTCGGCTGGAACGAAGTTCCTTTCGTAGTTTAGTATTATTGATAAACGTATTATCAAATAAGTGAATTACTAGCGTCTATAAAAATGAAGCGTCATTAAAAATAACATTTCTTTCATGGCAAGATAAGAAAAAGTGCGAGGGCGATGTATATTATTCCATCTCGCTCGCACTATAGAAAGTGGGCCGTGAAGGAAAAATCTACACTTTTCTAGCCTAGCCCCCATCCGCATCCCTCAAATTCGTACCGTGCGATAAGGAACTTCGTTATAAAAGTGAAACTATTTACTTGAAATATCTATAATTAAAAATACATAGGTATTATGTTAAAAACCAAATTCAACAATTTTAATGTTCTTGTAGTAGATACTATTTTAGTAAGAAACAGGTGGAGGCTACGATTCTAATATACAATACGAAGGTGTAGGTTGTCACAGGATGGAGGGAGGATCTCGTTATGGATGCTGGAAGTCGATGGCTGCAGGTGGTTCACGGCCGTGCTTTATGTTATTTCTTGGGAATGGAGGCTATGTTCAACAGTGGAGTTGTGATAGGCTATAATAATGAAGATGAAAGATGAAGTTCAAGAAAGTATGTACCTACAATGAAGCAACTTTTTATACGTGGTAGAACCATGCTGCAGCTATACTAATTGTATAGTTGTAGCACTAACTAATGGGTCGGCCCGACCGGGGAAGGACCACACTCTCACAGAATACCAGCGTAAAATAGCAGCACAATGCTGCTGTGTTTCTTATAGTGAGTGTAGCGAACCGGAGACCCTTTTTACTTAAAACGAGGCATTCCATCTTCGTCCTCACTGCTGACAACGCATCAGCATTTTGATGTGGACATCCACATCAACTATGGGCCACAAAAACCACTTACCATCAGGTGGACTATGTGCTCGCTTGTCACCCTTATCCTATAAAAGAAAACTTAAAAGGTGCCCGAACTTACTGCTGATTAAAACAAAAATTAAGAAAACGCTAAGTAATTAAAAATTACTCTATTGCATGTACATAAATTCAAGTCGAGGTTGATAAAACGCAAAGACAAATTTTATTGTTTGTCCGAAGCTTAATTATACGGTTTCATTTACCTTTGGTGCTGCACGCAATAATTCAGAGTAACATTTTATTACAATGATTTTATGTGAGTGAGCGTGTGTGAGTGCGAGCGTGCGGGCGTGCATTCGAGCGTAGGTACATGTGTGCGTGCGTCTCTTTCAAACTTATACCCAAAATTATTGCATGTTTGTCCGTATGCCGTACATATGCAATGAATGTTTGTAAAACACCTATACGAACTATAGAAAATTTTTTTTGTATAACGTTTGTGTTGGGTAACGTTTTAATAAAGACTAGCGATCGCCCCGGCTTCGCACGGGTGACCCTTGAGTGGGTACGCACACAAAAAAATTCATCAAAATTGTTCGATCCATTTTCGAGTTTTAGCGAGAGTAACGGACAGCAATTGGTTTTTATGTTTAAAGAAGAAAAAAAATCTCCGAGATCTTCAACAACTTATAAGCGTAAAAAGCATGTACTCCAGCCATTTGAAATTATTAACTTAAGCATATGTATTTAAACATTCCTTACCTGTAAAACTATGGAAATGCTGATCAGCACCACTAACAAAGTATAAAACTCGTGTTTTTGCCCCACTTGGAGAACATACTTTAATTGAGAGGCGTTTGATGTCAGAAGTGCAATATCTAGCATTCCCTGAGCGACGGTCTTTTTTGTTGCATAGCGATTTGCGTCGAGGCCTTTCACCTGCAGAGAAGTTCATATAAGTACTATTAAGTAAAATAAGTAGCTAGCTACTTTTCTTACTATTTACACAAGTGCTATTGCCAAAACGAAATTCATTTTCATCAAATTTTAAACGTATACATCACGAATGAAAGCGCTTGTAAGAACCGAAATAGTTTTAAATTTAATAGCTTCATTGTAGTTTCATGTGCCGAGTAATATTTTAATATTTTGTTACTGATGGATATGAGTGAATCCGCTTCCAGCATAGCATCGATTTGTCTTTATCGACTTTGGCCTTAGGTAGTCCACGGGCCCGTTGCTGAGGACGAAATTTCCAGAATGGAAGCGACTTAGAGACCTTCAAGAAAAGAGCGTACTCCTTTTTAAAAGGCCGGCAACGCATCTGCAATTTCCTCCCTGGTGTTGCAGTTGTTCATGGGCGGCGGTAGTCACTTACCATCAGGTGAGCCGCATGCTAATTTGCCCCCTCTCCTTTAAAAAAAAAAGATAACATTATTTGCGGTAGGTACCAGCTCGATATGCAACGTTAATATTGCGTGCTGTCTGTGCTGCATGGATGCCACCATGGAAGTTATATTATTAGAAAATAACGCCCATCTTCAACTTTCCATGATCATTGATCACAGACATAACAATGTTAAAAAATAAATTCCGAGAAAACTAACGAAAAGCTATGGTCTTAAATGCGAAACAGCTTAATTACATAGATTTAGATGGCCCGTTGGTCTAGTGGTTAGTGACCCTGACTGCTACGCCGGAGGTCGTGGGTTCGATTCCCACCCAGGACAAATGTTTGTGTGATGAGCACGATCATTTGTTCTGTGTCTGGGTGTAATTTATCTATAATATTTATGTATTTAGAAATATATAAGTATGTTTATCAGTTGTTTAGTACCCATAACACAAGCTCTGCTTAGCTTGGGACTAGATGGCGTTGTTTGATAGTTGTGGAATATTATATTATTATATTATTATTTGAATTTGGAATTACAACTCAACTCAAAATGTGTGATATTATGAATTTGATTGACAAAAGGACTGTTACCGACTTATATATTTACATTGATTTTGGTATTCATTCGATTACAAAATTATTGTCTAAAATTTGTGAGAAATTCGAACACCTAATCTTAATTACAACTCAGATTCACGTAAAATTTATATAAAAAAAGAAATAACAGTATCTTTGTAGGCGACAATAAATTAATATCATAACAAACTTAATATTTACTACACCACAAACTTCCGTTGGCGCGTTCTGTATTTTTGTGTCAAGCTCATCTAAATTTACTACGTTAACATCATTATCGTCAATTATTTTAATGTCTTTTATTTCTTTAGACATTATCACTTCTTTTTACACTCAGTTTAAGCAAAACTATTTAATTGGCCGTGCTTATGCAATCGCGTGCAGTTTCTTACTGTAAATAATGTATGTTATTTAACACACCATTCGGTATTAATTCATTCTACATCATTCGGTACTTCCACTTGACAAGGCCAGCAAAATTGAGTTTCGAATAATTTAAGGTTAAGTATATAATAATTATACCAATGATACCGGTGAATGGCAACTTTAAAAATACACGTAGCTTAGTGGACTAGTCAACTAGTGAGTACCTACTCAATGGATTTTGGAATCAAATCCCAACCGTGACTAATTTTGGTTTTCAGATCATGTTTAGAATGGCTGATTCTATATTGCTCTTGCAGGACTTTAAAATACAGAAATGAAATAATTAGTGACAAATCGTTATTTTATCTATACAAGTTTTTTTTTAAATTATTTTGTGTTATTATCAGAAAGATTTTGTTACAGTTTTTTTTTTATAGAAGAGGCGGCAAACTATTGTAAAAAATTCATTACCCCATATCATCCAGCGGGTGTCGTAAGAGGCGACAGAAAGAAACTGAACTAGGAGATGAGCAGCATCATCTTTCCAATAACAGCTAAATACGGTTGCCCCGCTTGTCAAGCGTGGCATCTATGGCAAATATCCATTTTATGACGAGAGGCTTATGTTCAGCAGTGGACTTTCGATAGGCTGCAATTGTAAAAGAGAGAATATTAAGCTAGTAGTCGCGTGCAAAACAAAATGGTATGTATTAGGTACCACAGAATACTTAATAGTACAACACGCCATTGTGAGCGAGGAGGTGCTCCTCAAACAAGGCAATTATTACAGCATATTATTTTTAATTTTGCACGCAGATCTGAGCGAATTAATGTTCTCAGCTTTAATATAACGTTTTTTATAAAATTATAGTGATAAACGTACTAATAGTCCATTTGATGGTAAGTAGCTACTGCAGCCAATGTACACCTGCAACAATCAACTTCAAACAAAGATGGCTATTGATGTCACCTACAAAGCCCAAGGTGGAATGCCTCACTGCCTGCAAATATACTGGCACTGTGGATCTATACCCTTCAGATTGACGCACAGCGGTCCTGCACCGCTGCACTCCTACTTGGCGGCATTAATAGGTGAGAGGGTAGTACCTACCCAAACGGAATCCTAGGAAGAAACGGTATCCTACTACCTTGTTAAAGGAATCCTAACCCCTACTAATTAAGTTCTCTAAAGTAACGCCTACTTGTGTATAATTAAAAAAAAACTTACCATATTTCTCACTCCAGTGGGTAAAATAGAAGCCATTTTTAGAATTGATTTAGAATAGAGTTTCTAAATCTGTGGCTCACTTTTATTGTGATAAACTTGCATTCAGAATCGCGTTAAAATCTCATGTAAATATAGTAATTTCATGTAAATATTTATACAATTTTCGGAACATAGTTGATTTGATTTTTTTTTAATTAAAATGTAAAAGGTCACGACGTGCTTTTGAGAGCGAAAGAACACAAATAGCTTGAACTTTGATGGCAAAACTGAAAATAAATAAATCGATAGCGTTTCCAGACAACGCAAAAAGACAACATAATAAATAATATTAGGTTGTTATAATAAAACAAACTATATTTTCAAGGTAATATTTCAACTAGCGAAATATTTAGTTAATGAAACCTCAAACTATGACTATTATATTAAATATAAATTATCATAATATTCTCCTTTATTAGCCTCTAACAGTCGACAGCTAGACTTAAGCCTCTGCTATAATAGGGAGGCTGCAATCGCCATGTTTGACAGACAGATTAACGATCGCGGTCCGCCGTTTTGGCAAGATAATTTTTTTATTTTTTTTTTATAGAATAAGGGTGACAAACGAGCACACAGTCCATCTGATAGTAAGTGGTTGCTGTGACCCATAGACATCTACATCTATCTTCGTTTGCGAATTAAAATGCAGATGCGTCGTCAGCCGTGAAGACTAAGATGGAATGCCTCTTATCCAGTAAAATGGGTCTCCGGTTCTACAACTGTTGTAGCACGAATGGGTCAGCTCGACCGGGGAAGGACCACGCTCTCACCGAAAACCAGAGTAAAATAGCAGCGTAATGCTGCTGTGTTTCATATAGTGAGTGTAGAGAACCGGAGACCTTTTTTTACAAAAAAACGAGGCATTCCATCTTAGTCCTCACTGCTGACAACGCGTCAGCATTTTGATGTAGATGTCTATGGGCCATAGAAACTACTTACCACCAGATGGGCTATGTGCTCGCTTATCTCCTTATCCTATAAAAAAAATCTAAAAGATGCCCGAACTTACTGCTGATTAAAACAAAAAGTAAGAAAAGGCTAAGTAATTAAAAATTACTCTACTGCATGTACATAAATTCAAGTCGAGGTTGATAAAACGCAAAGACAAATTTTAGATATTTTGTTATATTGTATTATAATTTAATCTTTATTTCCAGTTGCAAAGGCAAATGTTTAGAAAAAATAAATCCTCCAGAGCTGTTGCACGATGTCCTTCTTCAGTTTTATGGGCTTAAATCCAAAGATGAACCTATACCTAAAGAATGATAGAAATAGCACCAATTTCAAGATCACGAGCACGTGCTGATACGCTGGAATGCAATCGGAAGCCAAAATCAACGAATTTCAAATATTACTTATTGCTTGGCGCAATACGAACTCATGTTTGTAAAAAGACATTTATTAATGCTCACAACATCACTAGCAAAAGGGTGAGAAGAATAACGAATTTATTAGAAAAACATGTTGTACCTGTAGATGGTCGAGGCAAGAAAAGCAGTATTAATGCAATGCCCCTGACATCATACAAAGAATAGATGAGCATATCAAATCATTTCCAGTTCGCGAATCCCACTACACTACGCGATCATACTTTTATCTGAGTGCTAATTTAAATGTTAAAAAAATGTACAGATGTTTTATCGATAAGTACCCTGACCTGAAATACAAAGTTCTATACACATTCTATTGGCAATATTTCAGAAGAAATTTCTCTTTAACATTTGGAAAACCTGCAAAAGATACTTGTTCAAAGTGTGAAGAGTTAAAAGCAAAAATTAAAAGTGATCATTTGAATGAAGTGGCCAAACGAGTTTCAGTCGCAGAACTTCTAGTTCATAAAAATAGAAGTAAAAAATTCTATTCCGCTATGGCTAACAGTTTCAAACTAACCAAGCAAAATAAAACAATTGCTGCGATTCGCTTTGATTTTATGGCTATGTTAGACTTACCGAAGATACCTGTACAAGAAGTATATTATTTCCGTCAGCTTGGTGTGAACACCTTTGGTATTTATAATACAGGAAATGACAGGGTGACTTGCTATGTATTTCATGAAGGAATGGCAAGGAAAACACCTGATGATATCTCTTAATTTCTGTTACATTACTTAAAGATTTTTTTAGATCCTGAAGTAGAAGAGGTACACCTTTTTTGTGACAATTGCTGGGGCCAAAATAAAAACCACGCCCTTATAAGAATGCTGATGAGTTTGATAGAACTAGGTTCATTAAAAAAAATTAAGCTGCATTTTCCTCAACGTGGCCATTCACTTTTGCCTTGTGACCGAGCATTTGGTCTCATAAAAAAAAATAAAAGAATTTGACAGACTTTAGTAGATGAGTATGTGCAAGAAGTAATGAAGTCTTCCAACATTAAACATAAGTTTACTGTGTTTCTGGCAGATTCTTCAATTATCAATGATGTCCAAAATTGGTACCCTAAATTTTATTACAAAAATAAAAAATCTGAAGCTCGACGTAACTCAGCTTCAATTCCATTCACAATATCAAAATACCACTACTTTGAATTTAATGACAAGTAACCAAAAGTGGTTAAAACTAAAGAATTTATTGGTGGCCTAGTATCTCATTATTTTCATTTGAGAAAACCTACCACAATTCCAGTGCCTTCAGAAAAACTTTATCATAACAAAATACCTCTACTGGAATGTAAAATGGAAGATTAAAAAAAACTTAAAGTTTATATTCCTTCAAAATATAACACTTTCTGGAATGAACTTTATGAATGGCCAACTGAAAATCATACGGAAAGGGATAGTAGAATGTGTAATTAATCTGTATACCCATGTAAGCTCACAGTTAATTTAAAATAAACATTATTTCAAATATTCCTTGTTTAATTTTTCCATTAATTTTTGTATGAAAAAATAAATTTCACTGCATAAAGGACTCATGTCCTATGTTAATAGCAAAAAGGGAACATGTCCATGTTTTCTTTTGGCAATTTACTAATTAACTAAATTCATTTAAAAAGAAAACTTTATGTTTTCTCATAGCAAATATCAACATAAATGACCCTAAAAAATAAAAATAAAGGTTTTTTTTGATTAATTCAAAAATAAAACAGTTTTTTGTCTCTCTTGAACATTTTACATGTAGGGACATGTGTCCCTTTTGCAATTAGCGATTCAACTACGAGTATACTATTATAGGGGCTACACACGATCACTTTTAACTGCCAGTTTTAACTGACAGTGAAAACTGACGTCCTTTGCACCCACACACGTTCACTTTTAACTGTTCTCTATTACCACAAACAACATTACCATCTCAAGATGTCATCAGCCGACGACGACGCTTTAGCCGTGCTTGGTTTATTATTAATTTTAGAAAATAAAAATAAAAAAATATACGCAAAGAGTGGTGTAAAGAGTGGTTAAAAAAAGGAAAATTTATTCCCATGTTAATTTATTAACCGAACTAAAAATTGTTTCGAAGGATTGGCACAACTATCTCAGAATGAGTAAAGACATTTACCTCAATCTCGTGATCGCAACACGACTGAAGAAACACCGCCTACACACGCACAGTTTTAACTGATCAGTTCCGTCATTTCAGTTAAAAAATATGTATCAACAATATATCATCAGTTTTAACTGATAATAAAAAAACTGACAGTTTTTATCGTACACACACTCAGTTTTCACTGTCAGTTAAAACTGGTCAGTCAAAACTGACAGTTAAAAGTGATCGTGTGTAGCCCCTATTAATATAGGCCATGAATGAGGCCATGAAATCATCTCTGAGTTTTCCTCATGCGACACATATATGAATATGATATGAGGTGATGGATTCTCTTATGCCGCTACCACATGGTAAATTTGCGTGACATGAATGATAACTACAATATATTAATCGTGATAAATCATCAATCATAATTACGGCCCTTCACAGTTCCAGCCATCGATTACTTTCATGTCTTAGCAGGTCGGCACTACATCTAGAGGAGGACCACTCTACACTTGTCCTATCTCACACTCATCACATCGGGCAGACGATTTGTTGTTGTTGAGCGTAGAGCCCATAGCTTTACACTGCTGTTGCTGTTCCCTGTCACCACTGTGTTAAGTTTGTGTTCTAGTTCAGCATGTTTGGAATTTAGAATTGATTTCCTGCATTAGGATTGAGAGTACCTTTACAATATATAATTAACAGCGTTAAGGTGTGCAGTAAACAGTGTATAAATCACTACGTTTAGCACGCAGGAGAGTTTGATACCTTGTCGAAATGTTGATTGTATCTCTATTTTATATTAAAACAACGTCACTTTTTACAAAGTTGACAATATCATAAAACAAAAAGACATTAAAGTACCTATATTGGGCATACAGGATAAGATCAGACAAAATGAACAATGATTCTTTGTACTACTCTCCACGACTACGTCACGTTGCTAGTATTTTTCGTTATTTTTTCTTTTAAGACAGTTATTATACTGTTTTTTAAGATTTATCGGTCGTATACGACTAAAAAAAATCAATCTTATTTTGTAACTGTAGAATAGAAAATCATTTGAAACATAATCCTTCATGTAATAGTATCTCGTCTCGTAGGACAAAGGTTTTCTTTTGTACCTATATCCGAATTAAAAGCAACATTTTCATTAAATTTCAATTTGTATATTATATTATCTGCTGCGACTTGCGAGACGGAGGATCACAAAATAGTTATTACTTAGATTTTAAAGTTTTAAACTTGCGCGCTGCAACGAATCTACAATTTCTTTTCTTCTGTTTTATGTTAAGATAATTTAGTCTTTTTACTCGTTATTTTTAAGTGATGGAAAAGTGCATGAATCTGATAACTTATTTAATTAATGATCATATATATATCATGCATAAAATGTTAATTGCAATGCCTAAATTTATTTTATTTTATTCATTCATAATTCATAAAATGAAACGTGTCCGCTCTGCGCTCTCAAGTTGCTTGCTTTTCGCGTCGTTTTGCTGTCAAACAAAAATATTTCCATTTCGTTATCTTGTATTTTATAATACCTATTTTTAATTATATGTTTTGGTTTTTGGTGCAAACATTTTACAGTTTAATTGTGTATACGTTTATTATTTTATAAAGTTATTATTGTAATTCTACTAAATATAAATGATAGAAGTAAGTCTTAATCATAGGTGGAGGATGTCAGTGTTTTTAATTGTTAGTTGTTGAGTTCGAAGATTTGCGCCAGGAATTTCTAGATGTTGCCATCTATGCCAATTTTGTTTACGAGGGAGAGTCAAGATGCATTCGGCAATAAAATTGAACCTAGCACTAGCTACTTTAGCCAAAGCTCAGTCTCTAAAACCGCCATTATTCCAGAAGTGAGTCACTATATTTATGCTTGTTATTTTATGTAACTGTGCTATTTTCGACTTTAATAAGATCTGTTAGTAGGTCAGTCTTCTAGATAATATTCTGTGATCTTTTAATTATAATTAAAGTTATCTCTTATAACTTTCACCTTACAAATGATTCATTATTGCGGTTGTGTTGTCCTTGTTAAATCGTGCTCTTTTTTTTAAGCCACCACCTCCGAAGGTTGAAAGAGATGTATCAAAAGCAGTCACAGAAGAGTCAGAAGAAAAAGAGACTCAAAAGAAAAATAATGACCCACCAAAACCAGATGAAAATGCACTAGAAAAAGGTACAGTTTCCTTCAATAGTAGGCGTAATTATAATCAAGTATTTTGTATACATACTCATTATATTATAAGTTATGTTGTTAGTTACAAGTGTCTATAATGTAGCTATTGGTTTGTTAATACAGTAAAATGGCAACTGAAATATATTGTTTGAATTTAAAAAAAAACTTATATATATTGTAGATAACACCTTTACGATGCATGATTTCTTAACTTATAGTTCAACTGGGTGGCAAGTGGCTACGGATTCCTAGGCAGAAAAATGTTCTACCATCTAGTAGTGTTCTAACTTTAAAGTATATTTCATATATTGAAAAAAATTAAATTTGTTTCAGCTTTAGTAAGATCATATTATAGAAAAGTACAAGTAAGATTCTCCTCCAATCCTTCAGTGCCTACAAATAAATTTGTACAGTTCCAAGAACTGCTGAAAACATTTGATCCTTCAAAAGAAACTCCAGTTGATTTATATAAGAAAGTAGAACAATTATTTGGTGATGAACATCAAGATATTGTGGAGGAGTTTCTTTTATTTTTGAAGCCTGGACAGGCAGCAGAAGTAGGTAGATTTATGGACCATTTCATGTTGACGCAAATCACAAATTTTATAGAAATGTTGCAAGTGAGTATAACTTCTATTTCTTTTATAATACAACAGTATTTTTAAAGTACACTAATAAAAAGTACTCATACCATAAATTATAATTTAAATATAAAATATACTTCTTAAGGTCAGCCCGTAACACAATGGGCCATACTATGAACATGTTATAAATGTATCAGGTAGGAAGAAAATGGCAGTCACTACTTTGCCTACTAGAATGTATCAACAACATATTATACCAGTATGTGACCCACCATGACTGTATCATCCCCTTTCAATGTATGTGGTTATATGCCCATTCTATTGGTTGTAGCCCATTTTATTCAGAAGGAGAAGAGTTTGTTGTTTTCAAAATATTTGTTTTTAAATACTTATTCAGTGGCTATTAGAAAATTATATGTAAGAGAACAAGCAAAGGTTGCTATTGTTTTTAGCAAAATTATATGTAATTACAATAATTGGTTATCTGCTGAGAGAAGTTAGGTAATGTTGCTTGCCATGCATAGAGTATCGGAGTACATGCCCAATATTCTCATTGTGATTTCATCATTGGTCCAGTCATGGCACACTAACACTAGTAGTAAAAAGGTTTATTGAGTGTTGTTGCATATTTATACAAATAATGTTTTCTTTTGCATGTGCCAATACCCTTACATTCATGGTATAAACATTGCAGTTGATGGAGGCCTTTAAACACAATAAATAATTCATGAAACAAATTAAATTCTAACTATAAAACAAATTAAAAATAATATTAATACAAATTTTTGGCATATAAAGGAGGCCAGCTAGAGTCAATATTTTCAAATATCAGGATTAGAAATGAGCTAAAACTCCAACTGATGGTAAGTGGCTACTGTAGTCATTGATACATGCAAACGAAGAGGACTCCCTAAAACTGGTGCGGTTTCCCATTAGGAATTATATGAAATGTGTCGTAGTCTGTAATTATACTGGCTTTGTGACTCTTCAAACCATAACATAGTGATCGAAATGGGTAAGAAGATAGTACTAACCCAGGCTGACTCTCAGGCCAAAATGGCAAATGTAAAAAAGTTGTTCTATTTTGCAATATTTATTACATGCAACATTAGGTACTCAATATTTTTTTAACATAATTCCAATTTTTTAATAAAGAATAAGCTTATGATTTCTTCTCAATTCTTGATTCCTTGGTATTTTGTAATTCTTTAAATAATGTAATGTCCTCCAGGCCGAATTTCTGTTACGGCGACCTGTATCTATAGAAACTAGTCATCTGTGCAAGACATGATTATAGTCTGTGAGTGTGTGCGCAAACACAGGTGCACTCTCTATTCTCTCTCTTTTATACTCAGGTGTAACACAGCTATCAGACACTACCGGAGAGAGTCAGGTGCAGAGGCAAACAGTTTTAAGTGCTTATCAAGGCACAGGGTTTATGTTGCTTGTCTAAATATCTCTCTAGTTTTGTGAAAATAAGAAGGGCTAACCAAAGTATAACCACAATAATCAAGTACGAAGCCCTTTATTATTAGGGAGTCTGATTTGCTGCTCAAAACACTTAATTTATGTAATTACTGAAAATATAGATTCTTTTAAATATATAAAGTTTTCATGCATATCTGCATAAAATTATGAATACATTAATCATTTTTGTTTTCAGACTACATTTAGTCGAAAGCCCACAGTACTACGTAAGATAATGCGTGCAATCACAACCGGTATAAATAGTGGAAGCAGTGAAGGTATGAAGTCTCGTGTGCTGCCACACCTACGCTCCAATCCTCGACTTACACAGATGTTTAAATCACTATTTCCCGATGATAGACCACCTGACAGGTTTGTTTAGTAAAATATTTTCACATCTTTTATCAAATCTTGATCGTAATTTTCTATCGCCATTCTTATAAGGCAGGTAGGATTTATGACTGCAGTAATGGAATGTCTTTCACCTGTGACGCTTTGCCGATCAATGCACGACATTCCTATAATCCACTGTTACGATGCTCAAATGACAAAATACGTAGTGGGTTCTCTTATACCTCAACCACATAGACTGGCTCATAAAATCATATGGATGTCGTAGTAAGATAGTTAAGGCTGTGATATAGTTATATCGTTAGTAATAGCTATAGTAATATAGTTTTATGAAAGCAGTTCATTCCTATCTTACTAGACTACATTAGTGAAATAATTATAATTGTAGTTTGTTTGTAATTTGTTAGTCAAAACTACTTTTGACTGAATTTTTGAAATTAAAAAGTAAATTCTTTCAATATTACATTTTATATCGTTATAATGTACGCGCCTTAAAGCCGTAAAGCAACGATAGCTGCAACTTAACCTACTGTCAAAAACGGAACATGAACAACAACACAACAGGAACATCAATGTCACGAAATTTGTTCCTCCTGTACATTCAGTTTACAATTATAATTATTTCACTAGATTTGTCTAGTAAGATAGTTATGAACCGGTGCTAGATCCAATAAAACACCGTAATTTACGTAAATACGTGTATTGTGCTAGGTAACAAAACTAATGACAAACTGATTGACTTAACTAACATTATTTCTTAACATGTTATGCAAGAGAGAATGATGAGCTGAAGGTATCGCAATTTGGAATAGGGCAACGGAACCCAAGAGGCCAGCAGCTGGCCGACTTCATGGAGAAAGAGGGACTCTTTATGATGAACTTTTTCTTCCAGAAGCGGCCCCACAGGAAGTGGACTTGGTCAAGCCCCGACGGTTCGACAAAAAATGAAATTGACCAGACGACAACTGTTCAGTGAAGTCTCAGTGATCGCGAGGGTGAAAACTGGTAGCAATCACCAAATGGTTAGAGGCATACTGAACCTAAACGTTAAGTTGGAGAGGTATCGTCTAATGAAGTCAACGCTCCGTCCCCCTCGTGCTCTCATCCAAAGTCCCGAAACCTTTCAGCTCGAGCTACAAAACCGTTTTATGTGCCTAGAAGACTACAATGCAGTGGACGATATGAATGACAAGCTCGTGGAAACTATCCATGTGGTTGGAGCCAAGTTCTGCAAGACCCGTCGCAGAAGAACCAAAAACTCTCCGATCACACTCTTAATCTCATGGCTGTTAGACGGGATATGAAGCTGCAGTCTTCAGTAGATTTGACAGCATACAGGCAACTGAACAGACAGATCTTCATTCAATACAGCACGTATTGAAGAAGCGATTGAGCATAACCAAGGTTCCAAAGTATTTGCTAGAGATCTGTCTGCCAGACAAAGCCAACTGTCGAAGCTGAAGATCGAGTGTGGCAGCCTTGTTTCCGGGACACCTGAGATTTTGAGTGAGATTGAGAGGTTCTACGGCAGCTGTACACATCATCGTTGGAGCCATATGCAAGTGTGAGTAACGATCCAAGAGCAAGTCCTATCCGACACTATTCCGATGATATTTCGGACGTCAGTCTGAGCGAGATTAGAATGGCTCTCCAGCACCTTAAAAACGGCAAAGTCCCAGGCGACGACGGAATTATAGCGGAGCTTCTGAAAGCGGGTGGAAAACCGGTACTTGAAGTCCTTCAGAAGCTCTTTAATTCCGTCCTCCATGGTGGCACTACACCGGAGGCGTGGAGCCGAAGTGCGGTGGTCTTGTTCTTCAAGAAAGGCGGCAACGCTCTCTTGCAGAACTACAGACCGATTTCCCTTCTGAGCCGCATCTACGTGCTGTTTTCGAGAGTCGTTACGAATCGTCTCGCACGCAGACTTGGCGATTTCCAGCCTCCACAACAAGCCGGTTTCCGAAAAGGCTTTAGCACCATAGACCACATACATACCCTTCGGCAAATTGTACAGAAGTCCGAAAATTACAATTCGCCACTATGTCTGGCGTATGTGGACTATGAGAAAGCCCTTGATTCCGTCGAGATTTGGGCGGTGCTGCAGTCCCTTCAGCGGTGCCAAATTGACTGTCGGTATATCAAAGTGCTGAAGTGTTTGCACAGTAGGGGTACGATGGCTATCCGAGTACAGAACCAGAGTACGAAACCTATCCAACTGCAGAGAGGTGTAAGACAGGGTGATGTAATATTCCCGAAACTTCACCGCTGCATTGGAAGACGTTTTCAAGCTACTGGACTGGAAAGGATACGGTATTAACATCAATGGCGAGTACATTACTCACCTTCGATTTGCCGACGATATAGTCCTTATGGCAGAATCGCTGGAGGACTTAAGCACTGTGCTCAACGACCTCAGTAGTGTCTCCCAACGGATAGGTCTTAAGATGAACATGGACAAATCAAAAGTCATGTGTAACGTCCGTGTCACACATATGCCGGTAGTTGTTGGGGACACTAGGCTCGAAGTTGTTGACGAGTATATTTACCTGGGGCAAATAGTCCGACTATTTAAGTCCAACTACGACCGAGAGGTCAATCGACGGATTCAACTCGGCTGGGCAGCGTTCGGAAAATTACGACATATCGTCTCGTAAGGTATACCTCAAATATTAAAAACTAGACTTTACAACCAGTGCGTGTTGCCAGTGATGACGTATGGAACTGAAACGTGGTGCTTCACTGCTGGCCGTATGAGGAAGCTCAAGGTCTCTCAGCGAGCTATGGAGAGGGCTATGCTCGGAGTTTCTCTGATGAACTTAGAAATGAGGTTATCCACAGTAGAACCAGAGTTACCGACATAGCCCAAAGGGTTAGTAAGCTGAAGTGGCAATGGGCCGGCCATATAACTCGAAGAACCGACAACCTATGGGGAAAAAAGGTTCTCGAGTGGCAGCCTCGTCCCGGCGGATGAAGTGTAGGGCGTCTCTCCACTAGATGGAGTGACGACCTGGTAAGACATACAGGAAGTCGATGGATGCAGGTGGCTCAGGACCGTGCTTTGTGGTATTCTTTGGGGGAGGCCTATGTTAAGCAGTGGACTTGTGAAGGGCCGTAATGGTGAATGATGATGATGATGATGTTATGCACGTACCCACCTTCGTAACTATTTATGACAATCTATGATCAGATACCTTTCCCCCAAGTATGTACATACAATATTCATTGCTTACAAACTCAACAACCAACTTCTAATCCTTAACATCATCTAATAAACTAAATATGTATTTCTATGATAACCAGTAAACTTAAGCTATAAAATTATTAATAAGTTTCTCATATGGTGACTTAGAATGAACATTCATTTTATTCCTAATTTCTCCCCAGAATAAGTTATTTCCGTATTAGTTGGTATACCTAACATTTCCGCCCATTAATCCTGACTAGGTATTTCAGTCATTTCTTCTCTAACGTCATTAACGGTCTTATCTTTTAATCATTTATAATCAGTGATTTCCTCTGCTAATTCATTATCCAATATTTCACTATTATCTGTGATGTTTTGCTTCTTGGACATCTCTTCAACCGCTCTCCGGGTTATCGCACTCTTGTCAGATTGTCTTCTGTTAATTAATTGATCAATATGTCTATTTATTAAAGATCCATCTTCTATAGTAATCTCATAACTAGATGGTCCATTTCTATTTATTAAAGTTCCTGGTAACCATCTTGGCCCATTGCCATAATTCCGATACATTACATTTTGCCCCGTCCCTGATTTCCCAATTAATTTTTTGAGCGTTACTAATAATTTGTTGTGTTCTCTTTCTTTGCTGGCGATTATCAGGATGTAGTGTATCCAGCAAAGTACGTAGACGCCTGTTCATTAAAATTTCCGCCGGACTCTTCTGTACGAGGTGTAACACGCAAAGGTAGTAAAATGTTAGGAAGTTTGATATCCCATGGAATATCGTCCATCTTTCGTAGTTTATCCTTAATGGTTTGGACCATCCTTTCAGCCAAACCATTGGTAGCCGGGTGATAAGGTGCTGTAGTGACGTATTTAACTTTATTGGCTCCAAGAAATATTTTCATTTCTGTCGATACAAATGGAGTTCCATTATCTGAAACTATAGTTTCACACAATCCATGTGTTGCAAACGTAAATGTCGAATAACTGTTCCAGAAGTCATATTGTTTATCATAAAAACCTCTGACCATCTCGAATAAGCATCGACGATAATCAGAAATGTCTTTTTTTATATAGGATAGGGTGACAAACGAGCACACAGTCCACCTGATGGTAGGTGGTTGCTGTGACCCATAGACATCCACATCTATCCTCAATAAAGAATCAAAATGCAGATGCGTTGTCACCCGTGCGGACTAAGATGGAATGCCTCTTTTCCAGTAAAAAGGGACGCCGGTCGTCTACACTCACCATACGAAACACAGCAGTGTTAAGCTGCTATTTTACGCTGGTATTCTGTGAGAGCATGGTCCTTCCCCGGTCGAGCCGACCCATTCGTGCTACAACTATACTATTAATATAGCTGCAGCATGGCTCTACCACATATAAATTATAATTATTAATTATTTTGAAAAGGCAAAGTCTACATTTATTCGAAACCACGGTTTAGTTGGTGTAATCGATTCACAGTTTGTTTTAGGGGGCATGTGCCTATTTTCTTAACATTTTGAGCATCCACCTACTAAAACTTCAATGTCATGATTCAATTGCGGCCACCACACGTAACTTCTGCCCAATGCCTTCGTTTGCACGACACCAGCGTGTGTCTTATGTAAGGCACCTAGGCAACGCTCACGCTGCGATGGTGGCACCACTACGCGACAACCAAATAAAATACATTCTTCATGCAATGAGAGTTTGGTACGATGTAACCAATACAGACGCAGTTCACTGTCCGTGACTCTGTCAGGCCAACCGCTTAGTGCGTAATGACTTACTCGCGATAAAGTTCGGTCTCTCTTCGTTGCCGATGCTATGAGATCAACATCCACAG